CATTCGAGTAGTTTTAAAAGATAGGTATTCGAATATTGCATTCAAATAATCGAATAACATTCGAACATTTATTCGAAATTAGTCGAATAGTCGATCAAGTTCGGTTATTCAAGTATTTGCTCATTCGAATTTTGGAATGTGCCAATATTCGAATATTCAAATTCGAATAAAATGAAAGTCGAAAGTCGAATAATATTCGTTCATTCGAAGAATTTTCGAAAATCAAATATTCGATATTCAATCATTCGAAAAATTTTCGAAAATCAATTATTCGATAATCATTCGATCGAAAAATTTTTAAAAATTCATTATTCGATATTCGTTCATTCGGCGAAAATTTCTGTTCGTTACAACTATAGTGGACGGTGCTTTTAAGGGTATGCATTAGTCATCGAGTTCTCAAAACAAAGCGGATTCCAAAACAGAAGCATGTGATAACAACATAAAATGTTTGTTAAAATAACATGGGAAACAAAACTAATGCGCACTATCAAACTCCACTATTTATCAAAACGCAACAATACTTACATAAGGTGACAATCACGCCCTCTTGCGCATTTGAGATGATTTCTTCCGCTACCGTGTCTATAAGTGACTTCTGGTTTCAACATAAAATCTTGCAACCAACGTTTGACCAGGCAACTCAGTAAGCTTGACAACATGATTGATGAAGCAAGTACTAACAAGGAACCTTGACCATACCCTGCCAACGCAGACGACATCCATAAATTTATAGTAGCCTGGCGAACAGAGCATTACTAACTGACTTGACAGATCAAATGAAAGCAAAGAAAGACCAAATCATGGCTGAATATAGCAATCAAGCTAATCAAGCACGTGCCTCGGAATCTTACTCTATCACAAAATACGAAGGTAATATTGACAAAGACCGATTCTCATTGGGAAAACAAAAAGTCTTGACATTAGTGTTCCAAGTTGTCGAAAGCAAACTATAGCACTATGGGATAGCACCAACACGAATTTGCCCCATATTTTCAAACGAGAATTACTAGACATGCCCAAGTTTTCCTAATGAAACAACGTTCCTTATACTTAATTTGCGTCTTTCTCACGCTTATCATCATGCTAGTCGCGACAGCCACTCATGCTGAGAAGGGCAACATAGCTCAAGGCTATGTTGCCCTTCTCAGCAATAAGGCTTATCGCCGCAATATGTATCAAAACATTTTATAGGATACACTGCCTCCGCCTCTCGAGCATCATTTCTTCTACTCGATTCCTCATGCGCACGAGGCTTCTAATTTTGCGCACATTATGTCGTAGTCTCAACTAACCGCTCGAACGCATTTTAACTATGTAGTGCCGAGTGTCATATATAAACTGAAGTCATTTTTCAACTCTTAATCCATCAAATCTCAGATGTAACGGAATGGCACAATCCAAGCTCCAAATCTCAAGATTTCGAGGTGCAAGACAACAAGTGCTATGACGAGGGAGAATACACGAAAGAACCGAAAGAAGAAAGTTGTAAAGCGGTCACGACCAGGCATAGTCATCTGAAATCAGCTCCGCCGAAATGCTTGCGATGATGTTTCTAACACGATCTGAGAGAGCTGAGAAGAGAAATGAAGTGACACCAGTTGCAGGGATTACGGAGAAATACATTTGAAAATGAGGAACAAAGACAAATAAGGTGTTGTGGAAAGCCTTGTCGACCACATGGAAGACTGTATCCTCGGGGTTCACGATTACCAGAAGCAGCTCAAAGGTCTGCAGCGGTCCAGTACGATTACCAATCGACGTCCTTGGCAGCAATACTACCACCACGACCACCACCCCACAACAACTTCCATAGACATAGCAGCACGACATCCAGACAATGTATAAGCAGTTACCGCATTCTAGTTGCATTTTTTGGGCTACACGTCATTGATCAACGGATTGTACAAATTATTCCACCCTGACCGCTCGTAGGCAGCGCACCGCTCAACTCAAGAGATGCCAGCGCTGCTAGACCCGGCCACACATATGGTCACTTCTTCTCAACTAAAAATCACATGCCTGCAAAAAAGCAATACGACTGCCAAAAATGACGAGACATCATTCCATCCTCTGTCATTGAACATGTAAGAAAAGAACAAAGCAAAACAAGCAGCAAGGAATAGTATTTTTTGCAAGCGACTCAATTTCTTTATTAGATAGACTTACTTAAAGCAATAACAACAATATCGAAACCGCAGAACCTCAGAAAGGGATAAGGTACAGCACAAGCTGCAAAAACCCCAAAAGAAAGGGGCGCAGCTCAAATTGCAGTAATACCAAGAAAGAAACAAAGAGGCAGATAGAGGGAAAGATCTATCTAGACCACAGGCAGCAAATAACGCAATACTCTCTCGTATGCTCGTCATGATCTTCCACTTGCATATTCATTGTGTGATCAAATAAAGGCATACTCCCAATCCTTCAAACCGAATTGAAAGGGTTCCTTCTTGCATTTAACAGTAGTTTTCATGCTTAAACAAAATTTTAACAAATAAACGGAATTAGCAATAAATAAATAAGTAAAAGCAGATAAAATGATACAAATAGCTAGCAAGTTACAAATAGTGACTTCGGCTTTTCATCTCAACAAGTTCGGCCATATTTCAGACATCATTTAGCCTTCGGATCGTCATCATTCTGTCGTCGGAGTGTCGTGTCCTCACGATATGAGGAAGGCGGGGCTGCTACGGGGAATATAAGGGAAGAAGAGCCGAAGAAGGGACCGAACAAAGACTTACGATTACAATTTGTGACGTCTTTCCTACCATATACACTTGGTCAATCATTGAAGGTTGGAACCCGGCTATGGTCGTGGGTGACCATTATTTTCTGATTTTCTGTGCCATTCTATCAATATTTTGCACTTTACAATGAAGATGAATTCTTATCAATCGCTAACATGTTATTTTCACCTCGTATAAACAATGAGAGTAGAGGTTAATTGAATCTCGTGGTAGGAAGAATGCCATAAAACAAATCTGGTCACTGCGAATCACGCGACTCTAAAGCGCTATCGCCATATCAGAATCTGAAGTGAAGATGTGATTGACTCGTATGAAAATAGCGGCAGGTTGGATGCGGCATTGATGAACTCGTCAATAAATCGACGATCTACTCTTACTCTATGACATAGTGCATTTGACAAAATCCACGTCGCGTGTGTTTGTTTAAGATTCGCCTGCTATAGTCTGGCAAACGGTTTTTGACCAGTAAGTTTGGGGAGTACTTTGAGTTCATGGTTTCACAAGAATGTTGACGACATCGTATGTCTTTACGCAGCAACGAAAAATAGTTTTTGGCAAGCAGATGAAACCTTCTCGAGTAAGGCCGCGAACGCTAGTTTGTAGAACGTAGAGTGATGAGGTGAAGATTTTGAGCTGAGTTATATCGCAGGGGAATAAGAGAAAATACCACTGTTGGAATGGCGAGGCTTCGGGATTTCTGTCCGAAATCCTGTCATGAACGGCCAAAATGAATGTGTTGCAAATGATTTTACGATTTTTTTGTAGAAATATGCCAGTCAAAGAATACAATGATATTCAATAGTTGCATTGCATTCCTTGTTAGTAGCAGTGGGCTCTGGAGGACGGCCCCAACGCCTGCATGCTGATAGTGATAAAGTGTTGGTTGTCTTCAATGGGGTGTATGTCGAAAGGCGCGCGTTTCGGCAATCGTCATTGCCAGGTTGGATTGGTACTCCACAAACAGGTTTCAGACTACAAAACTTTTGTCAGTGTATCAGAAAGCGTAGCCGAGGATCATGCAGTTGAAATTCGAGACGAACAGGAAAAATTTGAACCTATTTCCTGCTTCTCTTGGTTAGGGCTGATCAATGCGCGCCATTCGACCGTCTCCCGTCTTCAATGTGTGATTGTTGCTTGCAATTGAATTTGAGGCTGGCCAGGGAGAAGGCTTCCGGTAAGAAAGACATAAAGCACAAATTTTTTACCACTAAGACTCTGTAGTAGACATACGTCCAAACGTCAGGTTGCCGCCACTAATACATCTGATCCAGTGCTTCATCTCTGCTTAGCAGAGGTCCGCACTGGCCATTATGAAAGGTTTTAGTGAACTTACGTAATGTGACTGGGTTTCCAATCATTCTTTAGTCAAATTCCACCTTAATCACAAAAATAAGCCTTACTTATTATGCTGCTCTCACGTGCATTAGCAATGTAAATCATTCCTCACTCTAATTTCGTAACAGAACAACTGACAGACTGACAGATCAACAGCTTATTATAAGTCAGTCACTAGTTGGCTTCCCTGGTCCAGCCCGGGCTATTGTTTATAGGGACGTGGTCGCCAGCAAGATTACCGCATGGCGGAACCTTCTCCCCTCCCTTTCCAAGTTATGAATGACTTACCTTGCGGCATCCACTTTGATTCACCGCATCCTCGTGATTTTGTGGTGGAAATGAGTTTCATCGCCCGCCTTTACGTGACTATGAGAAAATGCTTGGATAAACATGTATCTATCATGTATTATATCATAAAAACACAAAATCTGTCTTATGATAGGCCTTCTTTTCCTCAGATAAACGTAAACATATCAATAAATCGATGGAAGGACCCAACAAGTCGCCGCAAAAGGTAGCCTATCATCTGCGCATGGGTCGAAAACATAAGTGTGCAAAGCTTCACAATCGGTTGAGCGGTGTGGGTTTCTATAACGCACATAGACTCCAAACAAACTCAATTTTGAGTTTTATTGATATATAGATGATCTACCACTAATGAACCCATTAACTCAATTCGTTTGGCTGATAAGCGTACCTACGATTATTCTTAGAAAAAAAGGGAACATAAGCCTAGTTAGAAACACACAACTATGGCTTTTGTTTTGGCATTTACATTGTTGCTGCAAAGGCACTGTCTCAGTAGCTAAATCTACTATACTGCGACTACTAATAGAACTTTCAAAAAGCTTTTGAACGACATTCTGAGGACTTCAGCAAAAAATATGCAGTGACCTAGTTTCTGATCGCTAGCTCTATGTCGAGAAAATCATGCAAAACTTTATTATACACGTCAACTGAGCATATGTTTTGAACCTATGTACACGTACACCACATGAAGATTAGTTCTTGGTTTCCTGGACTCCTCTATCCCTTGGCTTGTTTGCAATAACGTTCTTCTTCAGTGCATCCAATTTTCTGAAACACATATTATCAGTATGTTTCCAAAGTGGGAATAATCAGTGCGGAGGACGCTTTCTTGAAATTAGTGGAAAATATATTCTTACAATGAAATGACTTACACGCAGGTCTCTCTTGGCACACAACCGGCATCTTTGTTAGCACTTGTCAGATAGACATGACCTTCTTTGCACATGCATCCAGGCATGCCACAACGCAAAGAAAAGCAAGTGGATACCTAGATATACCATTGTTCTACAAATGGTTGAAGGATCTGTCTGTGGATGGTAAAACTTACGTGTAAGTAATTGTCGCAGGATTTATCCGGACAAATGTTGGTGCATTCTCGCCATTCAGCATTCTTTGGGCATTTCACTGAAAGAAACATCTGAATTTATTAAGCTTTAAATTTTCGTGCTGGACTTGAATAAAATGGTACATTTTATGATGTAAGTTATTGTTACACTTGGTCTTGTAAACCGTCATCAGCGGCAGCTTATGGATGTTATTGCCACTAGAAATTTACCATTGAATTTTCGCCCAGACCTACTTAACAGCGTTTTCAAGCACGGTATGAGCGAGTTCAAAATTGAATTTCTTGGCCATCAATGAAATTCATGAGCTGCTTCTTGCGCAAGGCTTAGTCGAGGTTTTTCGATCAGTATCAAGATAAAGTGGCACTCATGTCTAAATACAGCTTCATAAATTTTATAGCATTATGTTCCTAGCTGTTTTTCAACTGAACCGTAATCGTTCAATTTCACTCCAATAAAAAAGTGTCTCAAAATTGACTTCGGTGCATTGGCTTCGATATTCAAGCTTTCTACTAACCCATTGATTTTGTCGAAGCGGTATCCCTTCTTTGTCGCAATGGCTTTTCCTGTTTGCAAGTTCTTACTGGAACAAGACAGTCAAATTCGTCCAGAATCTAAACATTATTCACTAAGATATTTTCAAAACAGCATTTCTTTTGCATTCTACCATTTTGTCCGTACAGCCCTCCACTTCTGGAAGGGCTATGCTAGGACAGTCCACTCTCGGAACGCACTTCAAAGTCTCATCATCACATTCATAGCCGGGTTCGCAGAAGACTGATCCGCATTCTGCAAAGTAATTCAGTGATTTTTTTAGTTTGTGGGTATATCAGTTATTAAATGCAAGTTAGGCCTTCCATATTTATCCACCTTTTAATTGGTCGATTTATTTATTTATTTATTCATACGCACTTCGGCGTGCTATCAATCCAAAAACTGCTAACACGAAGATACTAAGGAGAGCCGCAATGAAAATGAAGAAGTAAACACAAAACAAACAAACAAAAAGAAAACAGAAAAAGAAAGAAAACAAGAAAACAAACAAACAAAACAACAAAACAACAAACCCTGCAGTACCATTTTGTTAAAGGTTTATGCCTCACAGACTGGCGTCATAAACCTTTAACAAAATGGTACTGCAGGGTTTGCCGAGAGATTTTTCCGGACTACGGCGAAGGAGACCAACTATCGTTTTTGCGCCGGACCTGACTTCTTTGACAAAGGGGTAGAGGACTATTGTCCTCGATTGTACGATGGTCTCGCTCGGACTATTTGCAGAAAAGCATCTCATGCATGTGAAAAGGTGCGCATATGTTGCAGATGACCGCCGGGGCCATCCCATTTCGGCGGCATATAATCCTCTAACCCTTGGCAAAGCTGTGCTCACGATCCCAGCGTCAGGCTGTCCATCCAAACGATGCAAATGACGAGCCGGTTGGAGAAGAAACCCCGTCACATCAGATATCTTTAGATCGAGTAAAATTAAACGTTCTTTGGAGAGGGGGGCACGTAGCTAGGACCCTGTGCACAAACAGTGTGTGCTATTTTCGCCTACTTTTCAACAGGATGAACATGGCGGCTGAAGAAGCTAGCTCATCAAGGCGGGTAACCAACCTAACGTTAGATCCAGCGACCATCAATTTAGAACCTACGTAACCTCCTGACATCACAAGTGAGCTTTAGGATGAAGAAAGATGAATGCTGACGGTTCTATGATCGCATCAACTAAATACCGCGCGACGAGATACTACTGATAGGAGCAGATCCTTGCGGGCATTTGGGGAGGCACAGACAATCTGGGCAGTACGGCAAAGTGACCTTAGGTATCTGAAGGATAGTAAAGTCAGCCTCGGTGAAAGCCCGTTCCATAATATCGACCATTGGTTCTGGTTTTGAGTATTCTAGCCGAGAGACAACGAGGACAGAGCAAAGAGCACTCAAAAAACTGTGGAAGCTGATAGGTTGATTGAGCGCAGCCATGAAACGCTATTCTAATTGATTGGAGTTGGGAAACGTGCCAGAACATTCATGGGAGATTCTGAAGAGCAACTTCCTACACACAGCAAATTTACGGGACGCGCAAAACCGCGAAGGACGGGATTCGATAGAGAAATTTCCAATGAAATGATGATGTGATTGCTGAGATCAGGAGGAAGAAAGCAGTTTACAGATTATGGTAGAAGTCATGGTCAGAGGGGCATGGAGACTAGCTAAAATCGAGACATTTAGCAAAAAGCTGCCCAAGAGCAGAAAAAACATATGTGGAGGACTGGCACAAGAAGCTGCACAGTCGCAAAGATGAACAAGAGATCCGAAGAGTTGCAGTAAGGAGAGCAAATATCATTAAAAAGGTAAGCTGTAGAATGCTTAGAAAAGAGGAAAGAAAGATTGTGGGCACTAGTCTATGTACAGATCAGCCACACCAGTGATGTATAGCTAGCGGTGCGGCTAATCCTGTAGATAACCAGTGGCTCATCACAAAGGAGGAAGTTCGCGTCGCCAGAATGAAGACCAAGAACGGCAAGACAATTGTCTCGACGATCTTTAGCCAATTATGGAAGGAGTGGGTGGACAGTTTGTTGTTTAGTGGATAGCACGACCAAGTAGGTAGATTACAAGAAGATGCCAAGCGACTGGTACAGAAGATCGACGATATCGATATGGAAGAATCGAGGCGACATAGCTGATTGCAGCATCTACCGACTCATTCGCATTTGAGCCACATACATACTGGAGACCTTTTAAGGAATTTTAGAGCGGCAGTTTTAGAGATCTCTGACGGTTAGCTATTGTGCTTGTTGTTGTGTGTTATTGTGGTAATACAAACTTAAACCAGGATTCACACTCTTAAATAAACAAAGATTAGATCAACTCAGTTTGAAACACAAAAATGTGCAAGTTTATTTGTTATTGAAGTTATAGACACGTTATTATATACACTTTGAAGCTCGTATGAATCAGTGAAGCAGACCCGAATGCGGTTTTAGTGAAAAATTTCACTAACGCGAATTTTTCTTGTTGCACACGATTTTCGGCATGGGACAGTCTCTCTCGTCGACGATCAACTCCATCTTGCAACCAGCCTTCAGTCGCGGCATCGACAGCACTGGACAATCGGTTCGCACTTAATATTTTCATTCAATTAAAAGAACTCATTAATAAAGAAACACCGGTCATCATTGCTCGTGATACCCTCACTCTTTATTATAAGTGCAACAGCTAGAAATGCGATCAACAAAACGCTGATGAAGACTCGCTTATGCAACAGAAGCAGATTATGAAGGTTGTACAATACTGCTATTTGACTGCAGCATTGTAAGCTAGATTAATGTTTATATATATGCATACGGTAGTAGTGAAATACAAGGTGTCCCAAAAGTAAGTACACACTTTTCAATTGTTAATATCTCTCTTCCCAATGGGTCTTTTTTTTGCCAGTCAAGCACCATTCTGTAGAGGAGGACTCAACTTAGATCTTCAGTATCGAGCGAATCGACGACCGCTCTTCATTACTGTAGGGTTACTGTAGGAACTTCGACAAAAATTTTAGGCCATTGGAAGCCATATCCTGCCTCGAAACAAAATCAAATAAGCCAAAAACTCTTATACTATGGTAATGGAAGCCGCTGACTTCGAATATAAAATTCCCACTTTCATTTGATGCTTCTTTCCAAAGTTATCCCAAGTAAACCGTAATAACCGATTTCCCAGTACTTGTCAGAAAGGTAATTACACCATCAAAAAAGCTGAGAACACTCGTAAAAGTTGTGTGGTGGAACCAGCGTGCGCGAAAACCCTAGTACAGGATTTTTCAGATTTGAAAAAAAAAGTTTTGCCAGATAGCATATTTCACAATGGTTCCACATGCTGGAAGTTCTTACCGTAATCCTACATTAACGAAGAGCGATCGGTGTTCGCTCCATACCGTCAATCTAAGCTGAAGGCTCCTCTACAGAACGGTACCTGACTGGCAAAAAAAGACCTATTGGGAAGAGAGATTTTGACAACTGAAAAGTGTGTACTTACTTTTGGGACACCCTGTACAATATGGTGTTCATGCGCTCTTAGCAACATTTAAGCGTAAGAAATGGCTATGGCTCACAAAACTGAACTGCGCACTATGTTTAAACTTTCGGCATTGTGGGCTTTTTGAATGTATACATTGTATACACGTGTATACACGCGCAAATGTTGTTGGGACCGCAGCGTCGCTATTTCACCGTTGCTCTGCTATTGTGTAATCCAACCTCAATGACCCGTAAAACTCTGAGTGTGTCCACATTTTAGAGTTTGTAGAACTTTTTCTTTATTTTTATTTTGGTTTCAATCAAATCAAAAATCGAAAATGCTTAATCAGGTTTAACGAAGACGAATTCGTGTAGCTTATGTTTACTTTCTCAAAGAGGTAAATTGAAATCATAAAAAAACTTACAAACACAGTCGCCGTCTTCGCATCGCAGTCCTGGTGCGCATTTTCCATCTTTATCACATTTGAATGGATCTTGTTCCGCATAGACTGAAATAATGCAGTTATATATGATATGCGAATTACTTTTTTATATTACTTTTAATGCTGTGCAAAAATCTGCCAAAAATCATTTTCAAATTATGCTCTCGTTTGCATAATAGTAGACAAGTGAAAAGCGCATCTGTTATGGTGTATATGGGAGGTAAATGGCTGCCTACGATGACCTAGTAAGTTTCCGTCTACAATTAGAAGTTTTTGCGCAGCATGCGAAAATCAATATTACTCTAATAAATAAGCAAGAATAGGGGGTAAATAGTGTATGCAACTACTCTGCAGCGCGATTTGGGCGCCTTTGAGTCGCTGAGAGTCAAAGTGCGCAGAAGAGACGCAGACAGCTATGACCGCGCTCTGCAAGTACGTTGTCTATGTTTGAGGTTCAACTAACTCTGTATTACTTGGTAAGAATGTTGTAGATATGAAAAATCGTTTCCTAGCGTTAGTTTTGTAGTTACTTCTATGCCAAATATTTGCATAATTTGATACTTTTTTAGTTCAAAGAGCAAAAAATTGAGAACATAACAACTTACCAATTAAGACCGTTGCAGCTATCAATATCGCTACTTTCATTGTGCCTAAAATATCAGCAAAATATAAATAGTAAATTTGAAAATTGTAAGACAAGTACGATAAGGGAGTTACAACAGACTTGAGCAAACAACAATGACAGGAACTAGATTGATGAACTTGATTATAGCACTACGCAAAGATTTTTGAAATTTTGAAAAATTTCAATAGTTGTTAAACTATTAGCTTCTGACGGCGCCATCAAACTCTCATAATCGCTTTTCGGTATTTATTGATATCGTATCATAGGCCTAGCATACAAAGCATCCTATTGTAAATGCAGCAGTGCCGCTGAATAATAGATTTCAATGCTGAATCATCGAAAAAATGTGGATTATGCAGTGATGCGAAAGTGATATGAATTTATGAGATAATTCATGGCAATTGGTTACAAACTTTCACTGCAGATGTAAAGAAATTTTGAGAGTTTCAGTGAGTAAGGAAATGTAATAGATACACGGACTCACAAATGTTTAGTTGATAGTTCACATCTAACCTAAAGGGACCATATCCTTTTACCAAAAAGAAAAATTTTATGCTGCATTAGCGTCACAAAACAAACAAAGTCGGTTTTTTGTTCATTTCTTTCGTTTTGGGAAGTCATTCAAGAGAATACTGTATTTACACCTATCCAAAAATTATGAACACGACGCGCAAAAAACTTTGCAGAGCTTTGAAAGAATGCGTCTTTAAATTTTTAGAATTATTTAGTTATTGAATAAATCAAATCATTATATTTTCAGTAATTTCAAAGACATAGTTAATCGCGTAGGTGACTGGTTATTGACAGTGAAAAAATTTCAAAAAAGTGAAAATGATTGAGTGAAGACAAATAATGATTGTTGTTTATAATGCCCCCGAAACATCAACAAACTTTCTAAAAAACAATTTCAAAGTGTCAGAATCTTGGTCGTGAAGAACTTTTAGGGCTTTCAAGAAAGTTCGTGGAGATTCAGTTACGACAGAATTTTAACTTCCCTCCTACTTCTAGCAAAATATTGTGTGGATGTAACAATGTTTACATCATAAACAGCAAATTGTGCTTGAGAATAGAGAGTGGGGGGGGGAGGCAAGGTTTTACTGTGTATGAAATGGGGCAAATCATTGAATCGGAGTTGGTAGTATTTTTCGGATAAAAAAATTTTCGATCTTTACGAGCTTTTTGGAGCAACCTAATTTGGATCAGGTGCAAGAGGAAGCCCTTAAAATGCAGATCCTCGCTTGAAAAACAATAGTCCGAGTCCAAGTTGAAACAGCAAAAAAACATATTGATGCCAGGCGCGAGATGTGCAAGGCCGACACTCGTGATGTTCACTTTTTCACTGTTGCTATTATACACTTAGGCATGGCACCTGTGTCTACATATGCTGCCGCCTGTCAACATCAATTGCATATTCAAATACGGCAGAAGTTCATAGTGCAGACGCAGAAAATCCGTTAATGATCAGTGATCGATGAGGTGATCACTATGCAAAGAATCCATAAAAAGCACACGCTCTTTGTTTAGAAATTTAGAAAAAACTTCTATTCCAATCAATAAATACTAGGTTGGTCCGAAAGTTTTGTAGCACCATTTTCAAAAATTCATAACTCTCAATTCTTTTAGCCGATTTGCATGTTTTTATTATTATGTGAAAGAGTAAGTCATGCTCTTTATAATAACGCCTTAGCTGCTTACTAATGGTCATCAGTTGCATAGATAGGAGCGATAGAAGAAAATTAGTCAAAATTCGAATTTCTGTGTAGGGTCATAAAAAGACGGAAACTTGCAGCAAAAATCGGAGCACTCGGTATTGTAGGTTCTTTCACCAGCTCTTTCTAACAGTGTAAAGCTTGCGCTGATTAAACGTCTCTATTAAAAGTTACATCGAGCAAGCAATACAAAAAGGCGAATTTGATTTATTTTGGCATTTTTCAGGGAAATCGTAACTTTTCATAGAGACGCTCAATCGGCGCAAACTTTGCACTGTTAGAAAGAGCTGGTGAAAAAACCTACAATACCGACTGCTCCGATTTTTGTTGCAAGTTGACTTTTTATGACTCTACACAGAAAATTCGAATTTTGACTAATTTTCTTCTATCGCTCTCATCTATGCAACATATGATCATTAGTAAGCAGCTAAGATGTCATTATAAAGAGCATGACTTACTCATTTATACAAAAATAAACAGTCAGATCGGTTGGAAAAAACAGAAGTTGTGAATTTTTGAAAAGGGTGCGACAGGACTTTCGGGCCAACCTAATATATTTTGACAAGATGAGGACCTTTACTGGTGTTTGATAACAGTCAACATTAAAGACTCTACATGTAGTTATTTTTAATCGTCGGGCAGCAAGAAAACTCGCCGTCTTGATCAATTACAAATCAAGTTTTTTTTTATGTAGAAAGAATTTATGCTTTCTGTATTTTACAAAGAGGAAGGTGCAGCTCCTAAAAATATCTTGAGCAGCTTACGGGGCTGTCGTTTTGTGAAAAGAAGCCTTGCTGAAATGTAATCAGTGTTCCAGTGAGGTAATGAGACTTCGAAATTTTGATTGATTTTCTGTTGACTGCATTCATGACTTGCTTCAAAAAAGTTCAAGGGTCTGGAGCTTTTCAGGTTCGGGAGTCATAAGGGAACGAAAGTCAGACTGGCGCTAATAAATATTCTTAAAAGTCTAAGAAATGTAGAACCTAAATCACGAAATTGAGTGTCCTATTAGAAGCAAGCTCTGCTTTATTAAATGACTGCTTACGGTTTGCGCAAAAACTACTCGACCCTTATTTGAGAGCATCACAACATGTGCTCTGTTGACCAGATAAATTTGAAAGTGTGTGAGACGTGCGGTTTCTTGAAAATGATGAAACCTGCACACTACAAATTGACTTGACAGACTATAAAACAAAAATTAGCTCACAGACTTTTTCTAAACCATTACTCCAAAACAGGACAATGTCTTCGTTTGCAAGTAAGTTGTGGTCACAGCAAAATTTTCTGGTAGCTAGAAAGTTTGATGAATAGCCTAAGGTTGATAACAATACCAATGGCAATGGTACATAAAGCACATTCTGGAAGTTTCATGGTAAATTTAGCAACATTTCCGGAAATTTGGGCAGAAAAACCTATTTACATACTAGGTTGCCAAGTAAAATGTCATTTTTTATTTGCTTACTTTGCCAAAGCAACAGGCTCAACTCAGAAAAAGGAAAGGGGTACTGTTAGATAGAGCAAAACAAGCTCTACAAGGTGCCCCTCACGAATATGCGCCAAGTTCGGTCCACGGAAAGTTTAAACTCAAAATTTAAAGACTTCTCAATGCCCAAAAAACGAGGAAAATCACTCCGTTTAAATAATTTCTAGGGACCTTAAACTCTCACAAACGTCAATACTTTCGTTATCAGACATCCATATGCGCACAGTTGCTGTATTTTTTCCTTGGCCAAAAACTGAGAAAACGAAAATTTTTATCATTTCTGCAAAGTGTGTGAGACATGCAGTTTTTGAAAATGACGGAACCTGCACAGTACAAATTGTTTTGACAGAATGTAAAACAAAAATTAGCTCACAAACTTCTTCTAAACCGTTACTACAAATCAAGACAAGTTCGTTCGTTCGCAAGCAATTTGTGGTCACTGCAAAAGTTTCTAGCATTCAGAAAATTTGATGGATGGCCTAAGGTTGATTACAGTAGGCAATGTACATGAGGAGATTCTGAAATTTTGATAATAGTTTAAGCAACATTTGCCGAGATGGCAAATAATCTCATGTGCGTAGTACTTGCATAAAATGGGTCTATCCTTTCGTTATAAAAGTGTTTTTTTAACAGGATGCTTGAAAGGAATGATTCTTTGTTTTGCGCGTTTTGGAGCATTTAATTCAAAAAATGAAAAAGATAGCTTGCGTTGGCAGAAATTTCATTCTTCAAATAACAAGATGAGGAAATATTTTTGAAAGTTTGATTTTTCCTAGCATTAATCAAAGTCGTTTACTAAAGAGTGAAAACGTATTCTACATAGAGGAAAGTACAGCGGGAAGTCTCGACCCATCGAGCGTTAGTTTGAAGCTGGACTGGTTTTTTCTCCGGCGTCCTCTGTCCATCGACATCGAAAAAGTCATCTATCAAAAGGGAAAAGAAAGCTTTGTAAAGATAGTTCCCCCCCCCCCCCCTCCAGACCCTTTCATAGTCAAGTATCCTACGGCAAGCTTTGAATATATTTTTGGAAAGTTTGAAAATAGTACAAAAGCCCACTCGTTCGCAAACGCCCGCTTTCATAGTCAAGTTTGCTACGGCAAGCTTCCAAGAATATTTGTGGAGTTTCCAAAAATATTTGGGTGAGGATTCAAGAAAATCTGGATTTTCTCAAGAAAAGATAGTGAAAGAGGAATGCTGACCAGTTGGTTAGTACAGAGCTTTATATACAATCGAGGACCAGACAATTGAACGACCTTGGCGGAAAATATTAGATGTAACAGGCGCGCGGTTTTGTTGTCTCAGAAGAGCAGAGGTATGAGTCATTGATCGGAGGTGTAATTCGTCGAGTGCGGATGAACAATGCAAGCGAGAAATTTCTCGGAGAACGCGAAAATAGCGAGAGAGCGAGAGAACAACGAAAAATAGTTGAGGTAGAAAGTTGATTACAGAGCAGTGATTGAGTGGTGTCTCACGCAAAAATATTTGAGCTCGAATAAAATTGGATGATTCTGGAATAGAAATAATATCGCTTACGACTGATTAATAACTCATCATCCACATACAGGGCTTATCAAACGCAGTGTCGCTTGCATCCGCATCTCCACTCCCGCGCAGGACTCTGCGTCTCTTCTGCTAACATGCTCTCTGACCACTTTCCCAGGGCGAGCGTGGGAAAGGCGGAGTCTCAATTGATCGGAAGTGATTAGAGAGCATGTTCGCGGAAGAGACGCAGAGTCTAATTCGGAAGTGGAGATGCTGATGCAAGCGACACTGCGTTTGATAAGCCCTATAGGAGTTTGTGCGATCAGAATTGCAGCAAGCTGTAGATCAAATG